AATTGTCTTATCATACACATACTTGAAATTGACCTCTTTCACTTGCTACAATATCAATAAATACAGTAACAAAATACATAACTGAATGGAGACTAAGCTAAAAAAATTCGTTTGTTTGCGAAACTGGAAATTTATATTACATAACATAAATATATCAATGTTTCGCAAACAAAAATTGTGTAAAGCATTATGTATAAATAAAGGACGTTTAGAGCTTACAGAAAGTAAAGCCATAAATAAAAAATCTTTATCCGACAGGGTATGTGCTTCCTAAAAATTGATTTCTTTAAAATTATACCACTAATATGTTTACATCTTTTTGCATTGGACATCCAGAAGTACCAAGTTCACTTAAAGTTTCGTCAAGAGTTTTAAAAAATTGAAATTAGATCTTTTTTTGACAAATTAGAAAATACTTAGTTCCACGAAACGCCGTAACTACGTTTCTCTGATAAATATTGTAGAAAGACTTTTGCCTACGTAAGTGAGTTAAATTTCACTTATTTCAGCCATTTGGTTATGATAACAAAAATTTACATTCTACCTACCTATCATAAGTGCATTAATATTATCACAGGCATTTAACATATCCCATTCAGACGTATGAGATAAAATAGATTATTAATTTTAATATTTTCTGTTTATTTAAATTTAGCTTTAAGTAATTCTGAACGAAAATTATGTCCATTTGTTATCTTTTTCATTAGGGATGTACCGACTAGTGGCCGACCGGTTGGATAAGCCGACTGTTCGGCCGTTTTTCATTGTCGGCTGCAGTCGGCGACTAGTCGGCTAAACAGCCGATCGGTCGGCTTTTTTTATTAAAATTAAAATAGTATGTAAAACAATTAAACCCGGTTTACAGAACCTCAATTAAATATTTAATTGCGATTTAATTTTTAACCCCGCGTTAAAGTACCATATGACCGACTCTACGCCAATCAGACGTCACTAATGGCCTTAACTTAATCTCAGTTAAAATATTGTATAAACTGGCCCTAAATTGTGTTATTCTTTATTTTTGTACTGAGTTACTAAAAAAAATTAAATGTTAAAATTATCCAAACAAATTTAAGACATTTTTTGGAAAATAAAGGAACTTTAGTTATTCCTTTCATTAAAATAGAACAAAATTTTAAGGTAGTCAGAGAAATAAAAAAAAACACACTATTTGTCGCATTTATAAACTGGTTTTAGCAAAGCCGAACAGTCGGCCGACTAGTCGGTTTTTACTGGCCGAACAATCGGCTAATCGATTAGTCGGCCAGACCTACAGTCGGTACATCTCTACTTTTCATCCATAATTGTTAGATACAGACGCTAATTTGTGACTAACCAGTTGAACAAGGTGCCCTTTCAAATGGGATGAGTTAAATGAGTTAGATAATCTAATATTAGTACACTTGTGTTGTAAAGTAAGCCATTATTTAACTCAATTCATTAGCCTGCAAAACGTATCCCACTATAGTAAATGAACTATTTTACCGTTGTCAAACATTGAACTTTTCATTGAGTATTTTACAAAAAAGTCTATTTTTCTAAAAGTTTCCTTTAGTTTGTTCAAAATAGTTGTTTAAAAATTTTACATTTATTGGGAAACGAAATTTGTATATACAGGGTGACGCACCAAGTGCGCGCTCCGCAATATCTCATTACCAATTATTAGAAATAGAAAGAAAGTTAAATGCGAAAGTTGTATGGTTCTTTGAGGACCACTTTTAACTATATCGTGTTCTGTGTTTTAGGGGTAACACACAACTTAGTTTTTCCAAACAGAACATCCTATATATTTTTAGATATTCTAATTGACCTTTTCTCAGGTTTTATAACAACAATTTATTTTTGAAATTCCATTACGACGTTGCCACGCTATTCTAATTTTCTTGAAATTCTTTATCAATTGAAAGGTTAACAAAAAAGTCACAATAGAATTATTTTTTAAATTTGTGATACAATATTTTATATAGACATAAATAAAGATAGCTTTGTTGTGATGTAAGTAAGATTGTCTTTTTATACAGAGTGTTTATAAAAAAATCAATTGTTACATTTTTCAAATTTCGATACTTCAGTTTTTTCAAATAGAACACATTATTCTATTACATCTTATTCTGGTTTTGCTTTACCTTCATTTTTTTTCACTATTTTCTGTATTTAAAGCTGACAGTTATTGAGATTGTTTACTTTTTTTTGAGACACCCTTACATCGAAAGAAAAAGAACAAAAAATAGAAATGTTCTATTTGAAAAAACTGAAAAATTCATATTTAAAAGTGTGTCCCAAAATAGCACTACTGTGATGTTTTTGTGAACCCTTATATTACTAAAAAATTTAAGAAAGTTGGAATGATATGGCAACGTTGCATCGAAATTTCAAAAATAAGCTATGGTTATAAAACTTAGAAACTAATTCGAATATACAGCGTGTTATTGAAAGGTACGTACAAAATAAAATCGGCAATTAGTCTCGAAGTATGGGTGCTAAAAATAAAAAAAAGTTCAGGTAAAAGTGTTCTCCTTTTAGAGATAAAAATTATTACAATTTATGTTCAAATTCGTTGTACTCCTCTGATAAAAAGTTCGTTTCTACAGCAACATTTAGTCTTAAAAAAAAGTTTTATTGTTACAGTTGCTGGGATTTATTAAAATAAATTAATTTTACCTATTTATCCTTCAGTAGCGCCTAAAAAGTTTGGATAAGGGTTAATTTTCTCCTTATAATTTTGATGACACAAAATACATTTTTCAGACTTCTTAGACTTCGCCAAGAACTGTCAATTTTGTTGTACGTACCTTTCAATAACACCCTGTATAAAAATATATAGGCTGTTCTATTAAAAAAAACTGAGTCATGTGCTGTGCCTTAAAATCGGAACATTTTCTATAGTCGACAAAATTTTTACTGTGTGAACCGTAGAACTTCATTCTTTAACTTTTTTGATATTGTAGATTCTACAAGCTGAACTAACGTTTCCTTTTTTTAATATATTCACCGAATTTAAAATTAATTTTTTAAAACGATTTTTATTTCGTAAAAATACTCGAACATGACACTAGTTTTTAGTGATTTTTTTGAGTTTATTATTTGATTGTATTGTTCATTGAAGGGTTTCTAATTGTACTGTTAAGTAATGAAAATTATGTCAAAGAGAGCTTTACGAAATCCGTTAAAATAGCAGGAAAACTTGCAGATTTATCATTTCCGTAGTTGTTTGTGTGTAGGAATCAAGATTCTGAAAATAGAATTATAAATTTTGACGCCGTAATTGCGAAGAATTAAAGGAAATTTCCAAATAAACGACTCATCAAAAGTCTTTAATTAAACTAATTTATTATTAAATAACGAAAACTACATATACATACTTAGTTCAAATCTGTCACAAACGACACCGAAAAATGGGCAACGAAAAAAGTAATTTGTACATTATTATTCTTAAAATATTTTTAATTTATAGCCAAACCTGCTTCATATAATTTAAAAAATATAACAAATCGATGTTTTTATTATACTATACAAACACATAAGGTACTTACGTAGAAATTTTATATTTTTCTAAGGTTTTTAATAGTTCATTTTTCAAAATATTTTAGCATCTGCACTTCTAGAAATAAAAGTATTGTCTTCCTTGTATCTTTACTAGTTTTAGAGGTTTTTACGACATTTAAATAATGTTAAATCTCAGTTATTTACGGAAATTTCGGAAAACGATTTTTAACACTTTTTTCAGTTTACAAAGCTGTCTCATTTCTAACAGAAAAAGTCGAAAACGTTTCTGGTACGATTTTTAAAGTTTTATAAGCTGAAAACAGTAGTGGAAACCGCGTTCCAAAATTTCCATAAATAATTGAGATAATGATTTTTAAAGAATACGTGTTGCAAAAATTTCATCACATTAAAAAAAAGATAATAGTTTGGATAGTAAAAGTTGTGGACAAGTTATATTTAAAATTATGTTTGTTAATAATGGAGATACATATTACATTCTGTATATGTATTGCCAACGCTGTAAGAGCCACTAGTGACTCCTCCTAAAAGTGGAAGCTGAAAGTAAAAAGTATTTGAAACATTTGTATTTAATGCACATTTAACTTTACAATTTTTATTTTAAACATCATGTGTACCATGTGGTCGAAAAAAACCTCTTCTAGTAGGCCGTGCAATTTATTTTTAAAACAATGATGTTGGCAGCACCAACGCGTTCCTGTTTCAGTTTGACAGTTACGCTCAAATAACTGTCAACTGAAGGGTCAAATAGCTGCAATGCCAACATCATTATTTTAAAAACAAATTGCGTGGCCTAGTAGAAAAGTTTTTTTTTTTTAATTTGTTGCCCCATGTGAAGTACTTGTGTCCATAAAAATATGAAGAAATAAGTACGTCATATTCAAATTTTTAAATATGGAGGTGTATCTAATGCACATAACACAAAAATGCATTTCACGAATATTAAATGGTACAATTTTAAAAATGTTAAATTTAATAATATATTGTTACCACCACTGAAAAAACATCCCTTTAATTAACTAACTTCGTCTACGTCTAGACGAGAAACTTCCCGAGTTAAAAAAAGTCGTAAAAAACTTCTACAGTACGCGTAAAATATCTTACTTTCTATTTAGAAAATAATACAACAAAATAAGCTGATTTATACTGGAGCACATGCTTTCCTAATAAATTTTCCGTAATTACAACTAAGCTCCGGGATTCAAAAATAATCTTTGTTTATAGAAGCATTGCGGTTGAATGAGACTATTCGACAGCTTATTTCCCCTTTTTATGTGAATTTCATATTTATTAAGTTTGTGAATTTATTGCGAGAAAAATTTATAATCTAGGACGCAGCCCTGATTTAGAGGATCAAATCGAACCTACCTTTTTTCCTCAAAATAAAAATCGTCGAACAAGGTGTTTTCTTCGATTTGTTGGAACGGATTAAAAAGTAATTTCGCGTTCAAAACAAAGCATTACAGAATGGTAACAAGTAAAATATTGATTATTACCTTTCCGATCTCTCGTTCGACTGTTCCTAGTGGCGGTAGGAAAAGGCAGTTGGGGGTGGTCCATCGTGGTGGATCCAGACATTCCGGAATGGGCGTCGCGGAAATCTCCGGTCTCGGCCCAAACTGAAATGTAATATCACGTTGCTCGCTGGTTTCACAAAAACTAACTTAAAAAAACAACCCAAGAAAAATATTATACTTTTTGCGAATTCGAACTGTGGGACATGTGATGGTTAAAAACATTGCTACGTTCTATTTTCAAGAAGTATAATATTAATCGTAAAATAGAATCTAGACTTTTGTTTACATAGTTGAGGTAAATTAGTAAGTGTGTACTTTATGCACGGAAGAGTAACAAGAAATGTGATTTCAAGAATAAATTTACTGAATATTTTACGAACAGATCCATGTTGGCTTATTTATTAGACACAATGCTTGTTTGTTTTGGCTACCACAAGATATTAATTTAAAGGCTAAGGCACTCAAAATGCAAAAAATATATTTCGAATTCTTAACATATCTACGCTCACAGTAAAGTTTTTATGACAGCTGAACTTTCTGTGGCACTTATCTTATGACTTCAATTTGACACTATCTTTTTGTTTTTGACTTACTAAATTATCTGACGGTCACTATGTAATGTTCTGCAAGTATATTACTCCATTCCAAACCACTGCAAGTTTACTATTGTATTTTTTCAACGTGATATAATTATGTGCAATTTTTCGTTTTGATTTTGTTTTGCTCGTGGTGGAATTTTCACTAATTTTCCGGTAATTAAGACGAAAATCTATCCGATTTTTACACCAGTAGTTATATCTTTTAAAGATATAAAAATGTCGACAAATATGTACAATACATGTTATAGTCTGACTACGATTCTCCTACAAAAAACCCTCTTTGAAGTTAAATATTTTTCAAGAAATAGACTTTTTTTCCATTTTACTACATTCTATCCCACATTCAGATCTATCAACCAGTTAGCTGTGCGGTTCGTAACTGCAAGAATATATTTTTAGTACTACTTATATCTTGAAAATTTGAGTTGTTTAGGGTTTCATTTTGATTCAAAATAAGTAAATAATAAATCAATTATTATAAATAATTGCAGTCACATTCAGCATCAGTCGTAATTCATTAGGATTGTACATTCAAAAAAATTTTAATTTCGAATCGTATTTCACTAGAGCATATTATACAGGGTGGCCCAAATAAAACGAAACAGACGGGACCCTCGCCGCTGTAGGTACTTGATTTTTGATTCAAGGGGTATGTATAACGTAATATTTGTATGGAGGTGGATGGAAGTCGTTTTCAATATTTATTACGTTTATATTCTTAACAAGTAAGTAAAAAGAGGTTATAGTTTACTGATTTTTCATAATACAATTTCTCAGGAACCAATCCACCGACTTCAAAAATTCAAACACTGTTAGAAAGGGAATTAATAGGGCTTCGAGCATTTTTCACGTAATTAAGTACATCGCCCATATGTTTCATTTTATTTGAGCCGTCCTGTATAGATACCCGTCATTCCTTTTATTAGGGTTCATTTTTTGCTCTAAATAATATTGCTGAGAATCAGTACCTACTAGATACTATTTACTTTTAACAGTCCAGTTTCGCACTTTCTGTATCAACCCACTTGTTTTTTAATTTATTTATATCTTATACATTCTTTCTTAGTTTATATTGTTTTTTTTTAAAATACCACCAATTTTTTTGGTGAATGTCAGAAATATAAAAAATGCGTATTCAACATGAAATTTTTTGTTGCTTTAAAATGTTATTTTAGGTGTTATATATTATTACGTCTTTCTTATGGTTCATAGTCTTCGCACTCTTTTTTCCTAACGGTTATTTGACTACTTTCGTTTTTTAGGAAAAATGTTTTACAATTTCTAGAGCGTAATAAAAAAGTTTTCAGATTAGAGTTGGCCATGGAAATATTTTTCATGTATTTGATGAAGCTGTAAAAGTCATGAGTAACCTTTAAAACCCATTATTATTTTATATAGTTTTTTAGGTCAAATCAATATGTATGCTTTTATTTTCAAAAATAAATACTGTTTGTATTTTTATTTTTGTATAGTTATTTTACCCTTTTTAAAATGTCCTTTCATTAAAATTATTTTGGAAGCAGTGTTTCCTTTTATTTTCGTATTCATTTTAGGTAGATTATTTCATAATATAGATTTTATCTTTCACTCTTGCCTGGATTCTTCATGTTTCTTCGTTTTACTCTAAAATTTGTTGCAGTGACTAATATGAGCGCAAAATTTTATGTAATGTGCTTGTTTATGTAAATAATAACTTTCAATTACAATATTTTAAGTCTGTTAAAAAAAATTTCATGATAATGAATAGAAAAATACTTCCAATTCATATTTGAAAAGTCTTCTCTCGAAGAACGGTGGAACACTTACATGTTTATATGGGTGTTCGTCACTTGTACGCAATTAGAGAGTTATGAGTGTTGTCAATGCCTACCTTATAGATTCGAAAAAAAGTTGATTCTCAACTAACTGTTTTATTTTTTACAAGACGAACAAATTGGTTAGTACAAAATTTAAGAGCAATACAATTATACAAATATGTTTAGCTCTATGTAGGTATTTGATGACTAATAAATAGGTGTGCAATTGTGGGAAAGTATAGTTATTTCTCTGAATACTTACTTATTTTAATGTGACTAACACCCACGTGAACTACTATAGCAGACAAGAACTGTGTGTTTATGGTATTAACCCTTCAAATTGCATGCAAATATATCTGACCGCTGCGCGCAACTGCCCCTTAGCATTCAGGCAGTTTTCACACAACTGCCTAGTGGTATTAGGACCACCTGCCTGACCTGACCGTGGCATGTAACTGACCCATGCCCGTTTATATACAGGGTCGATGATCCTCGATATCCCATTAATTATTACAAATCTAAAAATGGTCAAATATAAAGTTGGCTGCTTAAGTTCTATTTTTGAAACGCCATATAGAACTTGTTTCTTTGCAAATGTTCACAAAAAATAAAACACAGTAAGGTTATTTTTATATGTTGCAATTTTTTAGGAAGGACATAAACAAAGATATACGCTTTGTTGTAGTTCAATAAAATTAAGTCTTAGTATACAGAGTGTTTATAGAAAAAATATAAAATTTTACAAATATTCATACTTCAGTTTTTCAAATAGTACACCTTGTAAATACTTTAAATACTAAAGCTTCACTTAATTATTACTATTACAAAGCGCATACGTTTGTTTATCAATTCACAAAATACTGCCCTATAGATTTTAAGAATAACCCTTTTGCGATTTTTGTAAATCACTGCATTGTTAAAAATTTTCAAAAAAATTAGAATAAACTGGAACAGTTGTATATTGCGGCTCAAACACGGAATACTCTGTACAGTTCAATAATTTTAGTTTCAGCTGCTTAAAAAGCTGCACAACTTTGCTCTTAACTTTTTTCAACTCTGAATTTTTTCAATTCTCATTAGAGGTCGTGCTTATCGATTCATCCTGTATATATACAATTACACCAATACAGGGGGAGTCACTAATTATTAAAGATAGAAACAAAGGCAGAGACTAAGTTCTATGACTCTTTGAGTGGCATAAATACCTACATTAAAATTATTTTAAACTATACAGAGTGTTTTGTTTTTGAGGCATAGCACACAATTTAGTTTTATTTTAATAGAATACCCTATACATTTTTACGTATTGTCACTAGTCTCTTCCTTGACTTTATACATATAATTGACTTCTGAATTTCCGAATAAACGTTGCCCCGTAATTTCACTTTTTTGGAATTTTGTTAACAAAAAAATTGCCATGACGTTACTTTTAAGATCTGGGTTGCAATATTATGTGGAGAGATAAACAGAAGTATGCCCTTTGTTATGAACATGGTATGAATAAAATTTTAATATACAGAGAGACTAAAACATTTTTTTAACTGTACATTTCAAATACCGATATTTTAGTATTTTCAAATAGAGTATCATGTAATTTGTTTCTGCATCTTACTTCATTTTTGTCCTCATGATTTTAACATTTCGGTAAGTCAAATCTCAGTGAACTTTTAATACAGAAAGTACTTAACAAAAAAGAAAAAGAAGAAAAACAGAATAAGATGCAGTAATAAAATACAAATTGTTCTATTTGAAAAAACTGAAGTACTTAGGTATCTATTAGAAAATTGTAAAAATTGAATTTTTTCATAAATGCTTTTTATATTAAGACTCAATTTTATTTATACCAAAAATATATAGGGTATTTTATTTCAAAAAACTAAGTTGTGGTTTACGCCTTAAAAACAGATCACTCTCCTCTTTTCTTCTATTTCTAATAATTAATGAGATATTAAAGAGCGTGTGTTTAAATGAGTTACCCTCTATATTTAAGTATCTATGCTAAGTATGTTCGTGAAAAAAAAAACTAAATTAATATCCTTTAATATAATAATTGTAGCATCCAATGTTTGTCAGAAGAATAGATTTATGTAGGAGTGTTTTCTTTTTCTTTTTTAAATCGCTGCAGTAATATAGGTATTGGGTAAATGACACTTAATAGCTAATAAAATGCCTTAGTTCTACTAATAATAATATTATTAATATCTTGTTTAATTATTTATTATTTTATTTATACAACTTTTTCTTCTCGAGGAATACCTGTGACTGTATCATTTTGCCGAATCCGGTATTTAATTGTTTGTTTGATTCTTCGAAAACAACAGTGCAAATTGTGGTTTTTGTTCAGTCTTTGAGGGTTTCTTTTTTAGGCTGCATTTAAAAAAACTACAGGCATGAGAATTATTAAAAAAAAAAACTAAAATTAATACTGTATCACACACTTCTTCGAAATTTACAAAACCGAATAGCTAAATTTGGAATTCTAATCAATTACTTAAAATTTTGTACTTCGTCCAAAAAGCTGAGGACGTCATCTCAAAATAATTGTTGAAAAATACGCCTTGACAGGTAAGGGATATTTGTCAAGACTTTAGAAGATTAAATTCCAATATTTTATACTTTTCAAAAGAAAAATAAGCTTTGCGTTCATTGTTACAAGTAAGTATACTTATATATGGTCAAAATTAGTTTGTAACAGTTAACGTAATAT